GTCCCCTAGCCAAAGGTGGTCCCACTCCTCCTCCGCCTCCACCCTACGTCAGGGGTGCTCCACCTTTGTCCAGATTCACGGACAACCCGATGGGTCCCAGGCATCAAATGCCACCCTTCACGAACGCATCGCCGGTTAACCACAACCTGCAGCAACCATCGCCGCCACCCAATCGACCTCCCGGTAATTTTTCACCGTATCATCCTCCACCTCCACCCAATTACCACTACGGTGCGTACCCACCTCCTCCGCCGCTTTCCACGGCAGACGATGCAGCCGCGTATCAAGGCTCTCCGTATCCCGCAGATCATTTTTCTTCCCCTGCGGATAATCAGCCACCCATTCAAGCGCCACCGCCTCCTCAGCCACCGCCGCAGCAACAAGCGCATCCGAACGACGCTGCTGCTGGAAATAAACAGTACGACGAAGAGGGTTCCGGTGAATTCGGTGGTTTAGTATCTTACTTTAGTAGTCAGAGAGAAGATGATCTTGATTCGTAGCATGAGTGAGATCTTGGCCAACCCTGAATCAGTTAGGTAAAGTGCATCGCGATGCATTTTCGACGCCCGAGGACGAGTGGCAACTTTTGCTCGAGAGGAATCAGTACAAGAGAAACATAAAAGAATTTAGTAACGTGTAATGTAACCGTAAATAAAAGTAGATATATATTATATAAATATATATATATTATATATATATTTGTCGGGGCATTGGAATGTGAAATAAATGAAAGAGAGTATTCGCGTAACATACGATGATATACATTTTAGCGTTATTTTATACTCGTACTGTATTGTTTTAAAACGTAAGCGAGACGCGTAGAATTAGAATTGTCTTCCTCTTTGACCTCTTAAGCAAACAGTTGCTCTGAACTCCTTCGCTTTCGGGGAAAACAAAAAAGAAGAGGAACGCCGCCGAAATCGAATCCAAGGTTGGCCAAGTGAAAGAAAGGAAAGAAAGAATATATAATATTAATCGCTAACAATGGAGCCTATTTCCTAAGAGTTATAAGCTTTTTGTAATTAGTTCGAGTTTGTTTAAATTTATATGAGAAAAAAGAAACGACCACTAGTAGCAACGTAAGAATTGTTACGTTACGCCTAGAGGAAAGATTACAACAAAGATCTGACCAGAATTTTAACTAATTATTCGTTAGTGATTCATAAATGAAACAAAAAATTTGGTGCACAGTTACTTCCAGATCCGTCGTAGATGTATAGATGTCCTTCTCCCGGAATAAACATTCGCTGTTGACAAAGTCGGTCTTAATAGTTAATCAGGAAACTTATATTATAACAAATTCGGACTATGCGCCGTTGTTACATGTATATATGTAAATATAATAAGTCTTTTAGATTATATTATATGTATTATATATACACAGTCACGCAGAATACTATAAAAGTGAATTAGTGCAAAGGGCACAAATGTAATATTTAAATTAAAAGATGAAAAAAAACAAAAGGAACGGCATCCGATTATAATAAATTAACAAATGGTGTGAAGACTATTACTATAATTATTTATAAAGATAAAAGAAGGATTAAGAATTTATAATAAGTAGCATATTGTATTTTACAAATTTTACTTGGTATAATTATATTAAAAACGAAAACATTTGGATATAATTGTATTAGAGAACAGGAGGCTGCTGAATAGAGAAAAAGTTCGATTCCGAAGAAAAGCGAGGAAAAAGGAAATTTAACGAAATTATACGTGTAGATAAAACTCCGAAAGTAATTTTATTTTTTCGAGAGATTTTTATTTTATTGTGTCGGTGCAATTTACGAATACATTTAGTTTTATGTAACCGTGCACATGCGTTCGTGTACATGATTTCTTTCAATACATGTGCAACCATGTTAGGAATTAACGAACTTATTATTTCCTATTTTCCTTGTTTCGTTTCTTTTCTTAATTCCATGGAAGATTTTATTTAAGGCGCTTTTCAAACTTAAAAAAGAGGAAAGGAAATTATATTTATGTATACAGGATGTGGCATTTCGATAAAAGCGTCCAAATATTTTTCGTTATTTATGATTTATAAAAAAAAGATGCTCTATATAAAATTACGCTATTTTGCACATTTGAGAATTTTTACTGGAGGTCTTTTTGATTCTTCAAATTCTTGTATATCAAATTTCTCATTTTTTCATTTAAAACACTTTAGAGACAGTTACTTTTTTTATTATTGTACTAATCCTTTTTTTACAAGATGATTCTATATGACAAAGAAACAAATGATGAAATAGTGAAATTTTTAGCATTTTTCCAGTGAAGTCATAAGCCACGAATATATTTAGATGTTCCGCACACGAGATTTCTAGTTATCACGATGTAGTTTACGCTATAGATAAAACATTTCCAGTATATTTTATTAAAGTACATTTGAAAAATTCTGAAACAGATGTATTTAGGACAGTCAATATAAATATTTGAATTATGACTAAAATTTTTAGGATGACATTGCGAAGCTAGATGTCTCGTCCTAAGCCGGGAAAGAGCCAAGTGCCGCGTCCTGTATACGCACGCGGGAAAAGAAATAGGAAAGAGAGAGATTATTAGCATGTATATATAAGATAGAAAGATTTAATTAAAGATATTATATGAAAGTTTCGTATCGTAAGCCATTATGGACATGACCCAAGGTCTGAATTGTTTGTGCCTGTAGCGCAACTTTGACAAATTTATTTTATTGAATCCACTTCTTAGAGAACCCGAAGGTTCTTCGATCGAGAAATGGGCTCGGATTAAATTAACTCGTTTGAGTGATCCACTGAACAGATACGACTATGTTCAACTGCGTGAAGAATAATTTAATGGTAAAGAAATCTGTATTCCTGTTTTCTGTTTAAAGTACGACAGCCTCCTGGTCTTCGATTCGCAAAGCTGGTAGCGTCTTTGCGTCAGAAATAAAAAATCATGTATCTGTTTAGTTATCACACGTACGTACATACATAATATAAATAGAATTTATATAAATAAAAAAGAGGAAATACATTATCTTAGGATTAGCTGCTTGGGATAGTTTCCTTTACTTCGTCGAATGTTTAAAGACCGAATTGATCGATTATACACACACTTTACACACCGTATAACGTAATAGAAACGATTACTATCGCTAATTTTACTATTTTTACATCTATACAATATATTTTGATTGTATATTGTTTAATGTACAATCCCTTATCTTCTTTAAACTTAACGTGTGTCTTCGGACCATTCGTTCTTAGGATGCGCTTCAAGGAAAATGCGAATTTATAATCTATACGTTGTTTTCGAATGCTTGGATAATCATTAGAATTATATGTGTTGCTAGAAAAACAGTTGTCTAACATTCTCTGATATGGGAATTTAATCTTTGATAAAATGATAATGATCGATATTTATATAAGATACGTAACAATTTTTTGATATGTCCGAAGACTTGATTTTTAAACCCACTTTTGAGTCCTTTGAACATAAAAAAAAATATGTGAAATTGATTTTTAAAAAAAAAATGTGTACATATAATATATTCATACATATAATATATTCATATGTATGTGTATATATATATATACATACATATACATATATATATTTGTATTGCTTTCATGCATGACACGTCCGCATTTAAAAAAATTCGTGATAGTTCGTATGAAATATATTTGTGATAATACACTGATTCGATCTCAATACTGGATAAACGTATCAAACATGATCCGTATAACGAGGTGCGTTCATTTTCGCATGTGTACCGAACTTTTTCGCATTTATGAATGTTTCCTTGAAACGTAAACGGACGAAGTGTCTTGCCGAGACAACAGTAAATGTGGTGCAGTTTAGCTTTTCTTTTTTCGTAAGGGTCTAGACCAAACGCAATTATTATATTACATGTTGTAGCCTAAACACATTTTGTAATAAAATTCAATATATTGAAATAATATCATAGGATGCTTTTTCTTTTTCTTTGCGACGGGCATCGGTGTTACGATAATCTTAATGTTTTCATTTAATTACGATAGAAAATTTGAACGTTACAAGAATGCACATTTTAATCACGTTACTTTGAACTGAACAAAATCATTTTAATCCGATGCAATTAACATAAATGCAAGATCGATGTGTTTTTTGTTATAAAGCGGAAAAGTAACATTACAAAATATATGTAACTTTCGCGTTGTATATAATATTCTTTTTAATATACATATACATATTTATTTTATATGTTCATTTTATAAAATTTCCAGGTAAACTAAGTTATAAACATTAAGTGTTTTGTAGTTTTCAAAAACATTGAAAACAAAAATATATTGAGCATACTTCGAAGAAGTATTTAAAGTAACGTTACCCTGAAAAGATTTGTTTTTAATTCGTTGTGCAAAATATTTTATAGCAAATACGATGACTTTTTGTTGTATACAAATAACTGTATTAGAAATAAGAAAACTTAAAGTAAAGTTTGCAATCTGTGTTGCTGTTTTGGTATATAAAACTGAATATCATTTAACGATTTTAGCTTTAACGTGAAATATTTTCTCGTTTGCAGGTTTAACGTGACCAAATCTTGCAAATAATTTGCAAATCAAGAGTATGACGTAGCACTAAAATGCTTTTCCGTTGCGTAATGAAAAATGAAACAAAAAGTTTGCAATCTATGTTTCTGTTTTGGTATATAATACCGAATATTGTTTAATCGATATTAATTTTACTGTGAAATACTTTCTCGTTTGCAGGCTTGATTTTACCAAATCTTGCTTTTCTTTTCTCTATTCTAGCTTCTAACTCCGCCTAAAACAAATTAACATGATAATTGCAAATTAAGAGTATGACATAGCACTAAAATGCTTTTCTGTTGCATAATAAAATAGAAAACAAAAAGTTTGCAATCTATGTTGCTGTTTTGGTATATAACACTGAATATCATTTAACGATCTTAACTTTATTGTGAAATACTTTCTCGTTTGCAGGCTTGACTTCACCAAATCTTGCTTTTCTCTTCTCTATTCTAGCTTCTAACTCGGCCTAAAACAAATTAAAATGATAATTGCAAATCAGAATATGATATAGCATTAAAGTGCTTTTCCATTCCATAATAAAATATAAAAGTATAATTTAACATCATAAATATTTAATTTTATTTGAATTCATTACCTTTTCCATTAAAGTAGAAACAGAAGTACCAAATCTTTCTGCTCGCTTTTTTAAAACTTCATAAGTTGTATGCTACAAAATGCATGTAATAAATTAACTATATCATAAATACACGATCTTACGATTTCATTCAAATAAATATATATCTACCACAGGTGTTTTCACGGATGCAGCTGATTTGTTATTTTGATTATTAATACTGAATCTTGCAGATCTAACTTCCTTTTTAGCAGCTTCCGATAATGGCAAACCAAATTTCTTAGCCCTCATTTCTAGTCTCTGTTGAAATAAACATTGCTAACTGTTAACATATTAAATTTATTGTAAAAAAATTTATAGAAAATTTGTTGTTACCTCTTTAATACCAAGTTCAGAAAATTTAATCATTTTCTTTTCAGGTGGTGCAATCTCCGTAATCTTAGTATCATTTTCAGGTTTTTCTGTTTGTTCATTTTTAACTTCTTCAATTACTGGTTTGCGATTTAGAACTATTTTCTTCGCATTCACATTACTTTCTGCAGATAACTTTATCTTCTTATCAACTTCTTGTGAATCAGGTTTATTTGATAATTCTTCTATTTCTTCATCCTGCAATGATATAAATATACTTTTAAATACAGAATTAAATATGTAGGAGATACATTAAGCTACTACAATTTTGATTAAGTTTAATTTTACCCCAAGAACAGCATCTTCATCTAAAATTTCTTCTGCTGTTTCATCCAACGATAACGCAGAATCTAACAACAAAAACATTGATCAGTATGTAATTCTGGCATAGAAAAACATATACTTTAAAATTCACTCAAAAGTATATACCACCATGTATTGCTAATTGAAGCCTTTCAACCAATTCATTTTTATTTCCAGTGGTAGGAAGTCCTCTTTGTTTCAGTTCAATTTTTAAATCTGCAACCTATTAAATAATATTTTCTCTGCTTTTGTCTAATTTTATTGTATGACCTTAATATTAATACATTCTTTATAAAATATATTCATCTACTAAAAGACATGTACACTACAAAATTTAATATAATCACTTTATATTAAAGTGAAAACAATTTTCTCAATTTTAAGGTTAACCGCCCGACTTTACAATCACATTGATAAAGTTAGTTGAATTACCTTCATTTTTGAAAGTTCCGTAAGTCCTTTTTCGTAAGATGAATCAGCCATGATGTATCAAGATTACTTTATTTCAATTAATATTTCTATTTGATCTCCGATTAACATGTCACAGTTTTCTACACGATATTTTCACGAAATCGAAGAGCAAATCAAATCGGATACATACAGTATAAAAAGTTCAGTATCACTACCTTCATGAGTGTATATAGCTACTAATCGATTAAGTTTCAGTCATAAAGTAAACAATAACTTCCAAAATGAATCATCTAATGTTCTTTGAATAAAACTGAATATAATAAAGCCAAATTATTTATCTACATAGAATCTTGAAATTCAATTTAACTTTTATATATCAAACATTTTCGTAATCAAATTTCAAATCTCTTCATATATGCACCTTTTCGATATATCGATTATGTTTTCACAAGTTAGGCGCGCAAGTATAAATCTTTAATCACATCTTAGGGTGCGTTTAGAGTAGACTAAAAGAGTAGACTAAATAAACAAAAATGTAGTTAATTTTCTTGAAACTGTCGCAAAGTGTTTAGTACCAGAAATTTAATCACGTTCTTTTTGTTAAACCATTTGTTAGCCTTAGGTATCAGGTTCAGTGAATAATTTCTACAGCGAAAACATGTTGGTATAACCTTGAATTTCAAAGTAGAGGAATGAGCATTCGTTCGCCTAGTCTAAACGCCCCTTGAAAATAACAAAACAGTTGTCATCAGTAATAATTTTACGTATTTATAATGGTAGATGAATCGACGAAGAAAACACTAAGCAATATTCCATTATTGCAAACAAAAGCAGGTCCTAGAGACAAAGAATTATGGGTGCAAAGATTAAAAGAAGAATACCAAGCTTTAATCAAAGTAAATTTCATTTGAATATCTAACACTCCATATGGTTGACACGTTTTTGTTATTACTGCTGTAATTACACATTTTGTAATTACTGTTGATAATGAAATGTTGAACTCAATAAATAATTGTCAATACAGTTTTCAATTATTTAAAATCAATCTTATGTTATTTTCAGTATGTGAAAAATAATAAGGATTCTGATAATGACTGGTTTCGTTTAGAATCTAATAAAGAAGGTACAAGGTGGTTTGGCAAATGTTGGTATATACATAATTTGTTGAAATATGAATTTGAAATAGAATTTGATGTAAGTAATTTTCTTTTTGGTATATTTACAAAATTTCTGCAACTCAATTAAACATATTACTGTTAGATACCTGTTACGTATCCTACAACTGCACCAGAAATAGCATTACCTGAATTAGATGGTAAAACTGCTAAAATGTACAGAGGTGGAAAGATTTGTCTCACAGATCACTTTAAACCATTATGGGCACGTAATGTACCCAAATTTGGAATTGCACATGCAATGGCACTTGGGGTATGTTTTTTACTTATAAATTGTTCAAGTTATCATTTTGATTGTTACATTCTAATGATTTATTCAAATTTTAGCTTGGACCATGGTTAGCAGTAGAAATTCCTGATCTTATAGAGAAAGGTGTTATAGCACATAAAGATAAAATTGATGAACGTAGGTCATAATTGTAAGAAATAATATTGTATAATATTTAAATGAAAATCTGTTTTTGCCCATATATGGAAATGGAGTTATATAATGAATATATGAATTTTGTATTTAACATGAATATTTACAATATTTTACATACTATTTGTAATAGTTACTAATCATCTGTTTTGACCTTCTTTGTTTCTTTTATAATTTCATCTAATCTGTACAAGTCTTTAAGTGATACTTGTCCACTTCCTCTTTCTAAAGGCTTTGGCTGTGATGGATCTGGTTTCCAACCTAATAGATATATTATTTGAAATGTAGCAGGTACATATGAACTTCCATCATCTTTAAGCTTTCCATATAATTCTTTGTATATTGTAGAAGCTGCAAGAACAGTATCTTTATTTAAACGTAATTTTCGTTTCATTACTGCATTATTTTCAGCCATTCCTACAAAAGTATAAGATTAAAACAACAATGCAGCAAAATAAACATTGATTCAATTTTATGATAACATTAAATACTACCTTTTAAATCCCACATTAATTCAAACATACTAGGATAACCAATTACTATTTCATCTGTATCAATTGTTAACATTGTAAAATTAGCTCTTGTTAACAAAGCTCCAACATCTCTAATTTCTGTAAATGGAGAAATGTGTGCTGAAATACCACCATCTCTTTCTATTTCGGCTAACTGTAAAGAACTTCTAAAAAAGAAAATTTATTCTGATGTACATGTTTTTCACAATTTTGCAGTTGATTTTTCTTATTATAAGCTTCTCTGAGAATACCTTAATTCATACAGAGTCTCTCCTCCAAATATTGCTGCCATAAAGACACCATCATTCTTTAAAGCTTTATTAATATTCTTGAAACACTGTGGTAAATCATTCACCCAATGAAGACTCAGTGAACTTATTACTAAATCTAAACTGTTGGGTTCCAATTCAAGATTTTCTTCATCTATAACTGTACGCTTTGCTTTAACTCCTTCTCCAACTTCTGCTTGTTGCACAAAGGTTGGAGACAAGTCAGCTAAAATCAATTCCTCCACAGATTCTGGTAAAATCTGTTTAGATACATGACCTCGACCACATCCTAAATCAAGAGCTTTTTTAAATGTTCTTCTTATGTCAAATATTCTATCTGCTAATCTGGAGCCTACTTCATCTTTAATATAATCATATACTTTCACGTCGGATGCTTGAGCAGCACGTTCTCTTTGAAGTAATTTTGCATTTCTGTCAAAAACATACATTACACTGTCTGCTGGTAATGCAAAATTTGTCACAGTATTGTTTATACTACGAACATTTTGAATATTGAACAAGAACCGACGTAAGAAAGGTTCAAATGCGGCCTGCATTTTTTACGAGAAGTTCATGTATTTGTATGCGGTAATCTTCAAATAATTATTTAATTTTAATATTAGTAACAGTATTGTATAAGGTACTATTGAAGTATTTTATAATCTTACATTTTTTAAACTTTATTAGTACTAATTACAGATGTTCTTTGTACGATGTTTTCCACAACATAACCTTACATACTGTAAACCAATATTTGAAATGTACATAAAATCATATAATTTTAATTTACTTCGTTAAAAATGATGCATGAACCTTTTATGAAATATATAATAATAAGAATAAATAAAAGTGATTGACTTTGATAGATTATAGTAAATTTGTAAAATATTGTAATATCCTAAATTCTTAATTTACAAATTTTCAAATTGCCAAATATCCAAAAGCTTAAATGTTCAAGTTTTTTAATCTAAAAACTTTCAAATTTCCAAATTTATAAATTTTTAAATTTACAAAGTACCAAACACTTATGTAATATAAATTTCTAATTTTCAAAATTTGAATATATGGATTGAGAAAACTTATTTACTAATAAATAAATTTATACATAATCAATTTCTTTCTTCTAATAATTACAGATTTAATATGATTCATAATAATTATTATTATACATTTATTTAATATCATATGTGAGTATGCATGTTTAACAATGTATATTCAAATTCATCATTAAACCAAAAAATAAAGATAGAATTAACCATTGTCATTATTGTTATTATTATTATCTATTATATACACATTGATAAATATACATCTAATATTCATTGAAATATACATTCTAATTTGTGTATATGAAAAAATGAAAATGTTAAAGATGTAATATTATATGACAATACAAACATAGAATTTTATAACATAATTTTGATGTCATGATTGTTATCACATATACCTTTAATAATTAAAAAATAATATTTAAAAGTAAATAAAAATAAAATTAATAAATGCAACATGCCTAGTGTTTAAGAATATATATGTGTATCAATGTTTATCATTAATATTTTCTATTTCAATAGTAGCTGTCATAAGAATATGATTTTAAATATCAACAGTATGACATACTATCTTTATTTAAACAATTTTTAATTTTATAGAATTTAAAAAAAAGTTCAATATAATTGTCAAATATACTTTAATAATTCTAGAAATATATTACACAATTAATGAGGCAATCATTTTTTTGTTTTTAGTTTTAAAAATAATGTAATATCATATTTTAAAAAGTAATAAATGTATGATTTAATTCATAAGGCAGGACTCACTCAGATGTATACTTTACTGTTACAATTAGAATGCAAACATTGATTCCATATGTATTTGTAACAATACATAATCGAATCTTGTAAAATGAATATAAAAAATATATATATATGCATATACGCTAATAATATCTAAATATATATATAATTTAATACATTTGTATAAAAATTGTTTAATTTATATATAAAATACAGACAGCATAAATTTATAAGGGCAAACACTTTTATTTTTATACACATATCGTTAATTTTAAAAATAAAGGAATGAAAAGTTCAGTAATGACAAAAATTAAAGAAATGACTAAAAAGCTGTGTGTAAATGATTGAAGCAAATTACAAAAAAAATGTAACATTAAATATTTATAACATAATTAAGTACAAGTCGTTAAAAATAACAAATATTAATTGCGATAAAATAATGGTCCATACACAACTTATTATATGTGAAAATGAATGTATCACATCTTTGCGTGTTCTGCCTTTTAACATGATAAAATTTACAAATAATAAATGTTTTTTATTCACAATCTTTGAAAAGAATATTAAAAAGAAAGTTCTGTATAAAAGTCAGTCCTAAAATACAACTAAAAAAATTTGTACAATTATATAATCACAATAAAAACAAATATCAATATATTCCGAGGTGTGTAATATCTAATATTACACTCGAAGCTTAGGAAAATTCTCAGAAATTCGTTACGTTTCGTAAAACGTTTAAACTGCAAACAAGATTCACGATGACATTTTTTAAATAAGCATAAAAGATAATAACAGTATAAATTTGTTATTTAATTAATATTTGATGTAATATAGGTAGCAAAATAATAGTATAAAAGCAATTATATACCTGTATTATACTTAATATAATTATTACTGAAATTTTTAATTCCAATGTTTCCTGTCATTTAGCGTTGAGCTTAAATTGTTAAAAAATATCTTTTTTATAATACAATATTTAACTGTAGAGTACCACTGATTACTTTAGCAACTTAAGGGCAAAATATTGGAACTTTAATCTTTTTATATTTTTTATGTCGCATGCGTATGCAATAAAAAAGTGTATTCATAGATTCAAACACGAGCATGTAAATTAATTACAACAAGACAATATTTCAAAAGAATATTTGAAATAATCAATGTGTTTGTAAATCAACAAAATTTGTTACTGAAAATAATATCAAAGTTCAAAGTCATATCTGATGAGAGTAACGAAGCCTCTTCTTTGCTTTTTAGAAATGTTGTTTGGTGATATTTGGTGCTAATGATAATTACTTTGGCCTCAAATTGTTAGCAGGAGTAGGTAATGTAAAATGTGTTGACGCTGAAAGAGTTGTTGCGGTACATGTAGGGACTGGTATATCTCCCATAGTTGTAACATTTGCTTCGCTTTTATAACGAATGTTAGTGTATTCTCGACCTAAATGAAGAGACTTCTGAAAAAGAAACAACAAATAAAAACATTAATTAATACATATAGATCAGAAAATAATTAAATAATAATTTCTTTTATATATGTAATTACCTGCTCTGCCTGCATTCGTTGAGACACAGTTTCAATATAGTGTAATACAGCAAGATAAACGAATTTATATTGTGCTTCTGTCTGAACCATTCCTGACCTTTGTGAACGTACTCTTTGTATAGTTCTTTGAATATCAATTTCACAATCTAGTCCTTTAAACATAATGTACATATTTTTAAACTTATGTGACACAAAGTATGCAATGGGAATGCAAATAAATGTAATATAAATATTATTACCATGACGCTTGATTTGATCAAGGATCATATCAATAACAATGAATGTTCCTGTTCTACCAATTCCAGCACTACAGTGCACAAGAATTGGTCCTATACTTGGTACATTTTGACCATTTGAAGCAAGGGAAGCTGCAATTGATTCTTGCCTTGCATTAACATCATGTAAGAAATTTAATACGCACCCAGGGTCCGATGGAACACCATGATCGGGCCATGCCTAAAATGTTGATTTAATTTATATAATTAATTTTATTTTTTGTAGCATACGTAAACTATTATTATAAATAATAATATAATACTTGAAAATGATAATGGAAAATTCTCCTGGACTCTGTAAAACAGGGCTTATTTCCGTGTAATAAAAATTCTCGTAAGGTATAGTCTGCCGTTGAAGTACGAGACAAAGCACGGACCTTCCATTCGCCTCCGTATTCTGTAATTTCGCCTTCCTCTGGCCAATATCGGGCACATTTATTCTAAAAATACATATATATATTGTCAAAGATACAATTTTCACTTTTATTTGACAATTACATACTTTTCCTCGCTCCATCTCTTTGGTGGTCATAACTATTACTCGAGTATTTTCTTGATATACCATATGCCAAAAATCTTGTATCGTGTTTGGAAGACAACCTTGTGTTGCTATATAACATTTGTTAAACAAGCCATTATCTCCACCAGCATTAATGCCACTAGTTTGATTATCTCCTTCTTCATTCTACAAATATAGAATTTTAATATGAATGTACGTATCATATACAATACTTAATTTTTATTTTTTCATTCTATTCACTACAACGGTGTTGTTGTTCAAATATCTTTTAACCATTAAATATCAGCATCACATATAATAAATTTCTCGATAAAGCGATTTACTTCACTCTCGTTCTAAATCATCAGATAATAACTTACTCTAATATAATTGGCATTGATATAATCAGCTCCAGGAATATTTGGATCAACATCCTTTAAACGCACTCTTGTATGATCAACTATAAAGTGATTATTTCATGATTATTGTAATTAATTTATCATTAATACGAACATGATTAATTTAGTTTATACATAAACGTAATTAAATCACGGGATAAAAAGTCTTACATGGTAAAATATTTTTATATCGATTTTTTGCTCGATTCTCAGGACGTAAACCTTCTTTCCTGGAAAATAAGTGACGACATTCTAACTGCTGTAGTGATTCAAATTCTTCCCAGAAACCAGCTTTTCCTTTACCCCGTCCTACTCCTCCTTCATTGCTACCTGTAGCTCCATTCCACAGCCATCCATTTGAACAACCATTTTCCTTATGTAATTGTCTCACTCTGCTTTCAATACCACTTGCATTTATACGAGTAGCATTGAAAGGTTGTCTTCAAAAAAAGAAAAGGAAATGAAAAAAACAGATAAAAGTACTATACTGTGCATCTTGGTTGAGTTTCTTTCTGAGGCACCAGGCATATTAATAAATTAAGACTGTGTACTAACCGTAAATGAACAACACTTCCACTTGTTTCAACCATTGGATTACGTTTATAATGCTCTATCAGATCACTTAGACTATCAAACTTATCACCTCCACCAACATCATATTTATTATCCTGCAATATTTACTATTTTTTAGTGGCAATATATTGTATAAGTCAGTTGTAACTTGTGGTATACATACATTAAAAATTGATTATGAATATGTAATATAAAATACAAAATGAAATTAACCTGAGATCGTATTATAACATGTGTAACACGATCATCTGTGCGTACAGATAATACAAAGTCACCAGGTTTACTCTGGGATTCACGAACCAGAAAAGATCCATTTTTACCTCGCTCCAGCATTAAACGTTCTGCTTCTTTAGCTGATAAATGGCCATGGAACCACCTTTACCCATATTTTACTATTAACACATACCATGCTATATGCGTGCATTTGAAGTAACAATAACAAGAAATTGTTCCAACGCATAACAAAGCTTATTATAATATTTATTATGGAAATATTAAGTGTATATTTTATGTCAATTAAGTAAATACCTTTCAGTTGTTGGATCTGCACAATTTAAGGGATATTTTAATTCAATAACTTCTCCATTTTTTTCACGCAATTGTCCCCCATTTTCCATATAAAATTGTACAAGTTCTGACAAGGTTGCAAACTTTTCACCACCATAAAGATCATAGAAATCTCCTGTATTTTGTATTTTAATGTGAGTTACTTCACCATTTCGCCTAAGAATAATATAAATATGTTATAAAACAAGTATAACAGGTTAGATGTCAGAGATGTCATTAGACAGATTATAAACAGATGATTTGTTTAAAGATAATATGATGTGTCCATACCTTACAGATAAGGTAAAATCACCAGGATTAGATGAACTTGGACGTGCCAAAAATGAGCTATCATAACCTCGTTCCATTAATAAACGTTCTGCTTCTAAACCCGATATGTTCGGATGAAACCATCTATAATAAAAATCCTTATGTTGTTATGGCACAAAATTTATTATTTACATAGCATGCAATAAAAGTACAAGAAAATAATTCAGGAAATGTATTTTAAAGTTGCAGTAAACTTACTGTACACTATATTAATATTTTATTTCTAAAACATATAGTTTATCCTTATATTTAATAACTCTTTACATTCAAACGAATTATTACATTCATAGTTTCATAAATAAATAATATTAATAATATATATATGAAAGAAAGTTTGAAATGTAGATTAGGAAGTCCTAAATAAAAATATTATAATTGACAGATAACAATAATTAACCAATAATAAACATTCAATCAGAAACACATTTTTATTCAATTAATTACAAATTTAATTAAATTTATATTTGATAATAATGTTAATGAAATTTTATTACAGATGTAATTGAAACTATGTAGGTGCAGTAAAAACTGCAGTTTCAATAGTAAAATACATAAGGGAAATGATTAAATAAACAGTATATATGTATTTTTTGGATATATGTAACAAATGTAAAAGTTAAGAGTACTATATCCATTCTGGATATCCAGTATAGAACGGTATTAACTTATTTAAGTCCGCATACCTTATTTCTGACTGTTTGACTAATCCGCGGTTAACACTGATAAATAAGTAGGCCTGTTCAGCGATTGTCCGTGAATTATAATTACATATTTTTTTACGCAAGTAGAAAAACGTGCCTCACCTGCGAGATGCCATGTCGTAATTCCAACTATGACCAGCTGGTTATTAATAATTCATAACGCTTCATCGATATTCGTACATATAATTCGCAACAGTAATTACTTTTAGCTTAATGCTAACTACACATCGTCACAGTCTTTGACACATTCACTCTCCATAAAACAAGAAACTGAATCTACTAAAAGATTCTATCATAGATATTTATTCTTTAGAGTGGATACTTTCGAAGTAAACATATAACCAAACTTAAATGTCGGTTTCATAAAATTATATAGTTACATTGTATATTTTATTTCGCAAGAGAACCGTAGTGCCGAACGACGAGTTTTCGTTCGGACTGCGCAGGTTCGCTTTGATTGGCTCCAGTACAGCTCGTAACTAGGGGCAACGCACATGCGTAGTAACGAATCGAATGACGTTGAGTAAATATACGTAGTGACTCTTTTATTAAGAGCATCTAATACATCAACGCTTGTTATTATAGATTATTTTTAAACCTGAATATTAATCATGGTTCGTAAATATTCGTGTGTAAAATACAAGTTATGATCAATAACCAGACCTGGAAGTAATTTTTATTGGATTTTGAAAGGTAAGTGGCAATGAGTGTACAGACTTTGAAAGACACCGTTAGTATATTTTCCTATATCAGTGATGGACAGTTGCACGGATATGTAAGCGATGCGCAATTGCGGACGCTGATGAGTACAGTAGGTTTTTGTTATATTGCCACAGATAGAGCAAAGGCAAAGCATAAATCGGTATTTGTCTAGAGAATTAGCAAGATCAAAACCATTCAAAACTTTCGTCTTTTATAGTTTTCAAAATTGAAGTACAAAATTAGGCTTCGTTGCACCCCGCCTATTTATGTCCTTTTCTGAGTTTTCATAATAACACGGAAACAACAAACATTGACAATTTTATCTCAATTTCATGTTTCCAATTCAAATTTAAAAATGTTTTCATAGAGTAAAGTAAGAAAGAATGGTCAAGTAAAAATAAAAAAATATAAAAGTTATGAATAAAAAGCAGTCATTAAATTAATTCAGTCAAATGTGATTATAGTGGGGGTATTTACCTACAGTTCAGTAGTAGTGACTACAGTTATGTACTCAATGAAAATAGTGAGATAGATGATCTCACAATGTGGGGATATAATTTCTGTCATTTCACCTTTCCTCTTTATTTGTATATTATATATATCGGCGGTGAAATGAAAATCATACTCAAAAGTGCTTCGCATTCAGAGTCAATAATTGAGAATCTAATGAAGTTAGTCAAACTGCATGAGTAACTAAATTATCGTCGCATAAGTTTGAATGTGATTGAATAACGCGCTGTTTAGATTTACATGCTATATCGTTGCCAGGATTTGATTAGATTGAAATATATCATATTGTTGCAGAAGTTACTCTTGACATTTGTCCTTGGCATACGATAATTTCATTTTTGCGGTCAAAGTTAGTACTAAGCGTCCATATTTAAGGCGATGTCTGTTAGTATCATGGAGAGTGGGGCATATTCTTTAGTGCCGCTCTTAGAGAGGTTTGCCTTAAGTGATTAATACGACTGCAAATTTTGCCGGCTGTGAAGTATCAGTACGTTTTGTACAGTTTTGTATGTGTATCGCGTATAATACGTTAGTTTTGTTACATATCGATTAATTGAATATTATTGAACATACTTGTATTTTGCTTAGGTAAATATAGATTTCCCATGCGAAGATGGGCCAGCATGTTTCAAGAACGGATTTTGAATGGGTTTATACAGAAGAACCGCACGCATCACGTCGGAAAATAATTTTAGGTATAAATCTAAAATATTATACAGATTAGTGCACCTAATTGTATCACAAAGATTTTTTTTAAATGATTTATAATGAGAGTAATGTTGAATGTGTTGTCCATCATAGTTAATATAAATACGTAATTAATCAGTAAATATAAATGACACATGTTAAATGTGTCACGAGTTACAGTATTATATATTTTAATAAGTATATAAAATGGTATAATAACAAGTGTTATAAAGATTTTACATATTAAAACTGCAATTACAAATTTAGCATATTACAACAAAATAATTTCAAGTGACTTTCATATCTCAATAAAAAAGCAAGATAGTAGAAAATTTCATTGTATGTTTTCCTTAATGTTACACAACTTTTGTTCAAAAAATTTTTTATATAACAAATAGTTTGCAAGCAATTTAGATGATACAGTTAGATAAATCACTAAAACCATTAATTACAATACTTAAATGAAACATTATTAAAAATATTAATAACATATTTTAATATATTTTATCTAATATTTACCTAATATATTTTTGTTTACAAAATTTGTTTCAGAGAAATATCCACAAATTAAAAAACTATTTGGGTATGATCCAAATTTTAAATGGGTGGTTACAGGAATGGTTTTAATCCAATTTATATCTATGTTCTTTGTGAAAGATTTTAGCTATCCATTGCTATTTCTTACAGCATATTGTTTTGGAGGTGTTATTAACCATTCTCTTATGCTAGGTAAATTAGTTGGAATATCATATATTTATTATTGAGATTTATTTAATTAACTTTTAAAGGCTATCTGATTGATAAAATTGATTGGTTTTATGATAACGTTATCACTAGTATAAATTCCAGTAAATACACAAGTAATTATTGTTATCTGTAATTTCCAATAATATTACAATAAAACTTAAGATAAAATATAATATTGAATAATGCCTTTAAGGGTTAAGCAGTCTTTATATGTTGCCATAGTTATTTATGACCAGGCTCTTATCAAAGTATAAACTAGTATTAGTTTATGATTACAGTGCCATTTCAAGTGCAATGAGTCATTAGTCATATCTTATTGGCATACTGTACAGGGTAAGTCTCCATTACCTTGTGTTAAGATTCCTTATAGCAGAAATTAAAAATTTTCCAAATTTTTGAGATTATAAAAGATGGACATTGTTATATATGAGTGGGGGCTGTTGTTGCAAAAACAAATTCATCATGTGTATTAAACATGCTAGACTGAGATAAAATTGTAAAGTAACACCTGCATTATGAATCAGTTTGTATAATACACTTGATAGATAAGACTAATAATTTATTACCCTACCAATGGTGTTGTAATCATTCTGAACATCATGTACTTATTTAACCATATTCATATGATATTTTAGCAATACATGAAATCGCACATAATCTTGCATTTGGGCATTCTAGACTAATGGCTAATAGACTATTCGGATTTTTTGCTAATTTACCAATAGGTATACCAGTTTCTATTAGTTTCAAGAAATATCATCTTATACATCATCGAGTAAGTTCAAATATTAAATTAAATAATATAACAGATATAACAGATAATTTAATATATAAATTACAGTATCAAGGAGATGAAGTATTAGATACTGATTTACCAACTTTGTTAGAAGCAAAATTATTTTGTACAACCTTTGGAAAATTTTGTTGGATATGTTTACAACCGTTTTTTTATGCATTTCGACCGCTTATTGTTTATCCTAAGCCACCTACATTATTGGAGTATATAAATTTAGTTATACAACTTACATTTGATGGATTAGTATGGTACTTTTTTGGTGAGTTCCTAAGAAATCTTATATCAAATTAGTACATATATCAATGAATGGTTTTTATTTAGGAAGATAAATAATATGAATGTTGCAAATTAATGTAATAGTAAAAGGATGATTTGTTTAATTGTGTAGGTGGTAAAGTTTTAGTTTATTTCCTTTCTGGATCAGCAATGGCTATGGGACTGCATCCTGTTGCTGGCCACTTCATATCTGAACATTATATGTATAAAAAAGGTTTTGAAACATATAGTTACTATGGCCCATTAAATTGGATTACATTTAACGTAGGCTACCATAATGAACATCATGATTTTCCTGCAGTTCCTGGTTCAAGATTACCTGAGGTAAGTTTAATTTCACTACAGAAACTACATTTATCAAATATAGCTACTTTTCTGAGTATTTAAAAAATATTTTATACTTCTAGGTGAAACGAATAGCTCCTGAATTTTATGATAATTTGCCACAACACAATTCATGGGTTTCTGTCTTGTATGATTTCGTTATGGATCCTGATATAGGTCCATATGCAAGAATAAAACGAAAGCATAGAGGACTTGATTCATAAAACTGAAAAAATTAATTTTTTTCTTTTGTATAAATAATGATTAGCATCTGGAAGTTAACATTATCGACATATTTATTGTTAATTTAGTTTATTCTATTCAGTGTTAACACATTCATACCATCTACATGGGTAAATCTACCCATACTATAAAGACTGTAGTCTGAAAAAGTCGTAAAAACGCTCAGGATAACAACAAAATTACATGGAAAAATGTAAATTATCAGTACGTTCTATATTAGAAAATTTTTGTAATATATCTGAATGGAATCCTAAAGCAGAACACTATATACGGTTCTGAGTGCTATAATATTAATGGATGCCGTATTTTTAATGATTTATATTGCGACTTCGCTTTATCGTAGTCGAGTTGTACCTCCTATTTCGGGATTGAACGTACTTTAATTATCAAATCTTGTTTATCTTCTTTCCTGTTGGTAATAAAGTATTTCACATTTATAGTAAATAGTTTTTGCACAAACGTGTTTTTAATTGAAACGTTTATAAAATTAGACTGTACCAACAACATTCCTACAGCATTTAAAATATAAGCAAAAGATGCTAGCTCAGTAAACAATTTTCCATTTTATGATATTTGTAAATAATTTAAATTTAGTAAAATGTAATGAACAAAGTAAATAGTTAGATATAATGAAAATCGATCGAAAGATGTTGCTATATTTTTTGAATGAGAGTACATACAGAATAAACAGCTTTCATAATTTTGTAATCTAGTCATAATGGAATAAACTTTTTATTATACACAATAATGTTAATAAAAAATGTTCTTTCATGCAGTGCTTGAAAATGTGTAACTTTTTTTTAGAATTTCTAAATTTGGAAATTCATCATTTTAAAGATTTGTATTTTTATTCACGCATGCGCATTAACACAATAAGTGTAGTGTACGGTAAACCACGGTCATGGTCATCACGTACGCCCCACTGTTATTGTGTTCACCTTTTTGTAGTGAATTATGAATTTTTCATATATTTAATAAATCATATTACAATAGTAATACATTTATATAGTTCATTGTCAAATTTTTTAGTTATATAACTTATATATAATTAAAGAAATGTATCTCGGAGGTAGTAAAACTTTTATGTTTTCAAAATATAATGTGTAATAAGTTAATAAGCCAATGCGCATGCGTGATTAGACAAGGACACAAAAAGCTTTTGGCATATACATATGTAAATAATTTGTGCTAATATAAGTATGATAAATAATATATAACATTTTTAAATTTAATGCAGTCCTAACCGCATAATTTTACTTATTTACATATATATATACATATAAATCCTATTCAATATTAATAGTATCTCATATGTATGTACTTTTTCAACATTAAGAATAGTACCTTTAATCAGGAAACTAACATTTCTTATATTTGAGTCATACCCAGTTATACCTGTGTAATTTTTGAGCTTAAAAATTGCCTCTCAACTCGGTTTGATCCATGATAAATGAATAGAAATGATAAATGATATCGATATTTTGTAATTAGTTGATTTTCCTATGAAATGTAGATGAAAATTATTTATATTAATTAATTAACAAAAAATATAACAATTGAGAAAGTTGTATTTTGACATAATTAACTTCATAGTAATGTGACTGAAATCGCCCTCGTGTGTATTTTAAATAATATATAGTGGTGATATGAACGGCATATGTATATGAAACGTAACATCGTTTGTGTTCAAAAAGGGACGAAGTGGTGTTTCATATTTCATAAATATTAATATTTGTAATGTTGATGACTAGAAAAGAAATCAAAACGGAAAGATAAAAATTTAGGGTGTTTATTGTAAAATGGTTTCTTGTAACAAGGAAACATTTGTTTGCATGCGTACGCTACGTGTAAAGTGCCCGCAATGGTACATCGATCTGATAATGGAAAAAATAATGTTTACGTGAATAGTATAATTTTGCACACATGTATATCTGTAATACAGCAAGTAGAATGGGAAAGCAAAACGGATCTTGTTGGTGGTTTGTAAAAGCCGTAAAATGGATACCAGTTATTTTCATCCTGACCATTGTCTTATGGTCATATTATGCTTATGTGGTGCAGTTATGTTTTTGTAAGTGTTTCAAAAGATATTTTTCTTTCATAATTAAAAGACCATTTCTTTTTTTTTACATAAAATTTTTATTTTCTTGTTTCATACAATTTTCAGTAAAATTCATTTTTCAATCATAAATTATATTCAATTAGCCTCAAATAAAAGTATTTTGTTTCATTTTATAAAAAATATGTATCAAATGTGTTCTGACAAAAAAAGAACTGAAAATATTGAAAAAATGTTATTTTATGTGAAAAAGAGTATAATGTGGTACAAATATTTTTTTTAAGGATAAAGTCTTGGCACAATTTTCAAGATCATACTAGCTCTTTAAGCAGAACTTTTTATTTATAATTTTGTTGGTCTTTTTGAGAAGAACTCAATGAGTTGCTACACAATGACATTTTGTTATTTGGAAGGTTGTAAAATAATAAAGAAATCATGTACATCAATAAGTTTCATAATTATTTATTTTACTGATTAATAAATAGTTATCTTGTAGCAGGAGAATTTTCTCAGCAAGAGATAAATCTAGTTTATATGAACAATATATATAAATAATGTTAATGTTTACATATATATACTAATAATTTGCTTTATCCTTTTTTATTTAGATACAGTAGATAATTATGTTCAAAAAGGTATGTACAGTTATTATGTAAAATATACTAGTGTATTTATAGTATGTTATTAATTCAATTGTATTTCTTTGTTAACAGTCTCCTACTTATTTTTCTATCATATTCTATTTTTCTTATTCTTATGGTCCTATTGGCAAACTGTATTTGCAGATTTGTTAGAAGTACCAAATAAGGTAAGATTTCTTTTTTACAATGATTATTGTAGTACAGACACTTATTAGATTAATAACATGATATCTTGAATAGTTTAGAATACCAGATGTAGAAATGGAAAAATTCCAGCAAGCTGTAACTGAAGAGGCACAGAGACAAATTTTAGAAAGACTTGCACAAGACCTTCCAGTCACAAATCGTACTATAAAAGGAGGTATTATCAAATATTATGTAATATATGTATTATGTGTATATAATATATGTATATACATCTATGTAATATGCTTTTAGTAATACGTTTTTGTGAAAAATGTCAGTTAATTAAACCAGACCGGGCTCATCATTGTAGTGTGTGTAGCACATGTGTTTTAAAAATGGATCATCATTGTCCATGGGTAAACAACTGTGTAGGTTTTCACAACTATAAATTTTTTATGCTGTTCCTGGCATATGCCCTACTGTATTGTATATTCATTACTGCTACATCTTTACAATACTTTATACGCTTTTGGAAAGTAAGTATGACTTTTTGGATAGCAAATTAAGCATTTATGGTGTACATCAAAAATACTTTTAATAACAAATCCTTATTTCATGACCACAATCTATAATTACAATAAAACAATTTCTATAATTTCTAATTACAGAAATTTAATAATAATTTCTTTAAATTACAATAAAAATTACAAATTTTTATTAATTTTTGTACATATTTCTTCTTGGATTAATATGAATTTTATTTTGTAGGGAGAGTTGGATGGAATGGGTCGATTTCATCTACTTTTCTTATTCTTTGTGGCACTGATGTTTGCTGTTAGTTTAAATTCTCTTTTCTTTTACCACTGTTATCTTGTTTTACATAACAGGTCGACATTAGGTAATTAAAAGCATGTACACTTATAATTTTTTAATTATCATTTGTAGCATATGTGATTATCTGCATTATATTATGTAATGTTTTTAGAGGCATTCACACCACCAATGTTTCGTACAGGAAAGGACAAAGATGGTTTTAGTCTTGGAAAGTACAATAATTTCCAAGAAGTATTTGGTGATAATCCTAAGCTATGGTTCCTTCCCATTTTTACTAGGTAGGTTTATTAACATAATTTTTAATATAAACTTTTAGATTTTAATAATAACTTATAAGACTGTAATGAAACTTAAAAGACTGTGAACCATTTGCACAATATATAAATAAGGATGTCAGCATAACTATTACAGTTATTTAAGCATTTATAATTCATGCTTATTTATTATGTAAAAGCACGTTTATATTAATGTATCATACTATATAATGTAGCAGAACCTGTTTTAAATTAACAGTTATCACTGTCACTCATTTAACAAATTAGTTATCCTTATCACTGTACGTATAGAGACTAGTACTTAGAAATATTATAAAAATATTTTAACTTGCAGTATTTTCCATTATATTATCTTTTTTTTAATGTGTATATTTTTAATTAGGTGGACTAATAGTACAACTTTACAAGACTGTCGTTTTGTATATAAAACATATAAACATATAAGTGAAGAAAATGGTAAAAAGTGGACAAAGTTTATGCACATGTAGTATATAAACTGCCTTAAAAATCAGTCACGTAAATTTGTTTTCCATTTTACTCAGAATCATATACTAAAAATTTATATGATTCTGTTACAAATGTTTTATTAGAGAATTTGTTAGCAGTGTATATTAAAGATTCGTACATCTGTTTAACATTTCAATTAATTATACTACTTATATAAATGTAATAGTAATTGTATTACCGTTAAGTCGCGATGGGTGCATTAAATGTGTTCTAGTCTTGGAAACGGCGTCACCTTTCCAGTACGTGCACAACATCAAGGCACACCAAATACTTACGACTCCATGGGCAGTACTCGAAACAGGTCAGCATTATAGAAGTCTACAGTGCCACTATAATAGTTGCATAAAAATTTACTATGGAACTCATTTGTGATTATTGATTGAAAGGCAGTTAATATTTAATAAGTAATATTGATTGGTTATTTCATTCAAGAAATATTTAAATAAATAAAAAAACATTTTCTTCATATTGTTTTCCTTAAGTTATATATTTAGTTTATAGATACTGTTTTGTTTAAAAAATTATAATTTATCATTTATTTTATACAGAGTTCCAAAGTAATAATATTTTCAATACATTGCTTCTTAACGCATGCAACTACTTCATTTCTGCTTTTGTTTAAGAGTCAAGTATTTGCGAAAGTTGATTTACTATCAATATTAACATTCTTCTTTTTGTTAACATACGGGTAAAAAAGTTATTACTAACATCCTAAACTTACTTGATTTTTTGATAGATTATTGATATATGTGTTTTATAACTTATTTAAATGTCCGTACATAATACTTAATTTTAATAAGTATACTGACTTGTTTCAGTATAATTACAAACAACATTTTTATAACATTTATGGGTACTAATTCAATTTTATATAATTTTATTTTGAATAATGTTTATCAAAGACTGCATTAAAAGTTATTAGTATTTATTGTTCATCATTGAATTAAATCAGATTACACTTATATCTTGTATTTAATCTACAGATAATCATTAATTGAGGTGGACTTTGAAATAGGTATTAGTTTCATTTTAAGCCGATTTAAAAATGCATGTTCCTTTTTGTAGATGCATCACATTGTATATTGATCAAATTATATTTATCATTAGTATCAATTTTTTACAATTTTGAAAGGTATTGTGCATCTGGTTCTTACAGATTAATATTTATTTAATTATAAGAGGTAGCGTAACTATAAATATTATAACATTACTATAAATTGTTGAAAATCATAAATTAAATACATAAAATTTTTGTACAATGCTTGAAGTATCTTGTATATAATACAAATTTGACAGAGTTAGGTAGTTACATTACCTCTAATCGCGAGTGGGATTACATGAAGTAGAAGGTAGGGTGTGGGTTACAGTTTTGGAGATGGGGTTAACTTTCCTGAACGGCTGTGCAATGAAGACACACATACTCTGTTGGGACATACTACCCAACAGTGGGGTGATGAGACCGAGCTTGATTCTCCACCTCCTTATGGGTCACAATCAGGTATTGTGTAGTCTGAAACTCTACATTGAGACAGTGCATTAATCCATATGCATTGTTCAAATACACAATATTTCTGATACAAAACTCATATTAGCCATAGTTACTACATGTATTATATATGTATAAAGAAAATGTTACTCAGTTATTTGAGTAATTTTATGCATTAGTATGAATTTATACTTTAATAGTTTTCATTCTTTTTTTTCACAAATAAGTTTGCTACCATTATCTTATCAAAAACAAGAAAGAAGAATATTTCAAATGTTATTTTATATTTAGTATTATACATAGGAATTGATTTATGGAATCAATTGTATTTATCGTAAACTCTTTATTTTTTTGTCTAATATATACATTACTTTAGTAATATGTTATATAGTCTCAAAATAAACAAATAATAACTTATATTATAACTTATTCATAATATGAAAGAATCAATTGATATATATATACATATAAAAAATGAAATAATTTAAATGCTTCATTTCTCTAATATAAAGTAAACAGTGAAATGAAATTAATTAATATTTTTTGAGTTTCATGAAATTTCATATGAATTTTACAAAAATATAAGTTAATAAAGAGTTTACTATACATTTTTATTTTACATAATTACCATATGCATTTTATAGCTTTTTGTACAAAAATTTAATTATCAATAGATTACACAAAATATAATGTTTACAACTAAGTACTTATATAGTTAATAGCGGACATTTTTTATGATAATTAGTACAAACAAAAAGTTTATAAAATAAATGAGGAGATTAGAAAACTATGCTTAAAGAAATATATGAAAATTATATAAATTGTACACTATTCATATGTACAATTAATTGTTACATTCCTTATTTATGTATTTGCTGGATTACAGGATACATATTAGATACCATGTATGGAGTTATATATCAAATTTCATTATCTATTATTAAATAAGACTGTAATAAAATGAGAAAAATAAATTGGTGAAGTTCAAATATTCTTTTGTGTTTGTAATAAGTGTAAATATTTTAGATATAATTAACTTTTAACCTATTGTTTCTACTTTATTAAAGCTATTAATTGCATGTATACATAACTACATTTGTAACAACGCATGTTTCACTATATATTAATTTATATTATAAGAATAATAATGAAAAGTTTTACTATAAAATATCATTGCATAACTATCCTTAATAATATAAATAGTACAATCAGTTATTACAAATGTTTAAAATATTTTATATACTGTTTTTATGATTAGCATTTATAATGAGATATATATGATGAGTATCATGTTTTACTAATTTATAATTGCACATACACTTTTCAGATTTGTTCTTAATTATGCTCAATAAAAAGGAACATAAATTGATGAGTTATGTTTCTTTTTATATATCTTTTGTGCTATGATACACAGAATTCTTTATAATATATATATCCTCAAAATAATAAATAATTCATAAGTCATGTCCTAAAATTAAAGTATTAAGAATATGGAAATGAAGATATTTCACTAGTATCAATATTTCCAGAAATTCTTGATAAAAGTGGCTGTGATGCTGATGAAATATTGAAGTATTTATCCTTCAGGACATGATTTACAACCAACAGTGTTTAAGAATCATATTTCAGAAACAATGAGATTCAAGAATAAGTTTCATACTTATATAAACATCTAATATAATGTGTGCATATTTTGCATTTATTTAATGCTATATTTAGGTTGAGTTTTTGACTACAGGTCCGCCTTTGATCAAATGACTTTGGTAGAAGAAGCTACAATTTTGGCTCTTGGCACTGGGTAATAATGAATTGTACATTTCATTTCTGCGTGTTTATTAAAAAATAACGTGTTTGTTCTGTTTTAAACATTTCACTGTATTAATGTATTTCCTGTTTTTAAGATGGAATAGAAATTTATTTGAAACAATTATTGTAAAGATTGATATATTTAAAGTTTTTATTTTATTAAACATTTATTTTGTTGTTACTAATCATTTAATCTTCTCATATTTATTTTAACAATATTTACGTTTTCATTGGGTGTAAGATTAATTTCTGTTATAAGATTTATTTACAGGAATTTATTCGAAGAAAAATTAGGAATGCCATTTTAATCGTGCATACAAGAACTGAATAATGTGGCAGAATTGAGTTTTGTATTGCATGTTTTTATTTACAGAAATCAATAGTGATTGCTATTTTGTGCAAACAGGGTGTTAAGTTATATAATTGCTTGCTATTATAACATTTTACTTAAGTATTTAATATATTTTGATAATTAATTGTAAATATATTTAAATATTTTTTTTTATTCATGCTGATAATCTCAAATTTAATTAAATACTTTTTTTTTATTAATATTTTACAGCACTGCTGTGATAGGATCGCCTACTGATGCCAACCAGCCATTGGTGGATGGAACTGAACTTGCTTGAGACAACATTTTCCAAATGCTTTGTTTATTTTTAACAAATATTCAACGGTAATAGATTTTGGTTTCAAAAGTTTGGTGTATATCCTTAGTTTAATAATTTTAGAAAAATATTACAAAAGATATTTCATTGACTTCATAAGTGAAAATAGATTTTGCTAGAGTTTTATTACTGCCAATCCGTTGTTCTGTTTAGTATAACAGTTTAAATATAAATACAAATGGTAATACTAAAATAACATTTATTACTACACATTGGGATTTTTATTATTTTTTTTATGTACAATGTACATATTATACAAATTGAAAAAAGATTGTTAACATATGTAGGATAAGTTGCACAAAATTTTTAACATTTTATGTATGTACAATATTGTTAGTATTGCAGCTATTTTTATGTATAGTAGCATATTTGAACCCTAAAAGCTAAAGTGTACTAAGTCCATTTCTTTCTATTTATTCTATTTCAAAATTATTTTCTTATAAGTTTTTTAATCTTTAATATAGTAGTATAAAAGAGATATGTGGCTCATATTTTGTATCAAGTCCAATAATATAAATACTCTTAGTATTTTTAGCTCTAGTACAGTTTAAATTCATGGATGCCTGTTACAGTATTAAGCTCCATAACATTTTTTATGTCATGTTTCCTATAGCATGTAGATTGAGGTAATTTTGGACTTGATATCTGTTTTGAAAGATATATTGAAATCATGTAACATTATTACAAGGCCTTCATACCCTTGATTTGTTCTCTAAATTTTGGGAAATGTGACTTAATACACTCTCGTCCTGAAGTCCAGATACATGATCATTGTTGCAGTTTGGCATAGTTTATAAATATTATATAGCTGCTTAAAATTTATGTCACTATATAGAGCATGAAAAAATAATTTGATGGCAAATATAAATTTTCTTAATTAAGAAGAACTGCTATTACTGAATTTAACAATGTAAATGTTAACTTCGAAGAAGTGACAAATTATTACACAAAATAGTGTCAAGTCAGCAATCTGTGGTCATAGCATACTTGTTTACTTGAAATTTTAAATCTTGAATATGGCCTTGAACAGGTCATAAATTTGTTAATGAAAAGATGTTATTTCCTGCCATTGTGCTAATTCTAAAATATGCTATTAAATAGGAGAATAATATCTATTATTGTTTCTAAATGAAAATATTATACATCAACTGATATATTAATATAATGATTAAAGTAGCAAAACATCAAAGTTTCTTAACTGTATAAAATATTACGTTTCAGTATATTTGTTGTAAAATGCAGAACATATCAGATTTCATCATGCAAATGTGTTTTTAAAATATGAAAACAATTGAGGAGTATAATAATCTAAATACTTACATAATGATTCAATGCAGTAATTTTTTGAACATTTGTTCACTATTTGTGAAATCATTTATTACTGTAATAAAAATATTTGGTTTATTCATATTATACCTCTATTTCAGAATAATAACTTCTTTTATTAATAATGTAATAAACATATTATTCACTACATGTTGTGAACATATTTTACTTAATTATTAGCAGAAAATGTAATTACCAAATTTCAAGTAAACCTAGTTTGTACTTAAATCTTTTGCAGCCATTTTTATTAATATAAAGTAATTAACTTTGAATCACTGGTATGTTTTGACATTAATGCAGTGTACATTTTGTAATTAACAGATAACATATTTACTTAACCGAGATAAGTTTATAGTTTTTTGTAATATTTCAGTTTTTTATTTATATTACTGACCATAGTATTATTATAAAATGTTAGATATGAGAATATATTGTGCTATTTAATCTAAGGAAAATATGGGAGAATGTATGTAAAAAAGTTAATTTCATTTCTTGGAATTTCTGTTTACTTTTGATTTGTCATATAGTAATATGGTTACAAATACATTATAACAAAAATATTAAAAATATATTATTATGCGATATAATTACCATTAAAAAATGTTTTATTCTTTTCTTAAACGAAATAAAAAATAAAGTGACTTTTGCACTTAAGATGAAAATGTTTAAAAATGTAAAAATTATAACTTGTAGCCAAATTCTTGTATCCAACCTAATCCTTCTCTTGAACTTAATTTGGGAGAGTATTCTAATCCAATATATCCATTATATCCTTCCTGCTCTAATGTTGAAAGAATATATTTATAATTTATTTCTCCTGGAGTATTAGGTTCATGTCTATGAGGAACTTGTGCTATCTGTATATGACCTATAAATTAAAAAAAATGTAATGTTTATATATACTTCAAACGTTTATGTATATAAAAAGAAATATGTACCTATATATGGTAAAAGTTCCTTAATGTTTTTTGTAATATTACCACAAATCTGTTGTAGATGAAAAATATCAAATAGTAATTTCAGATTTGGACTATTTATTGTTTTTACTACTTCTAAACCTATATAAAATGCATAAATTAATTAACATAATACTTCTATTAGAAATTCGTATTTTATATGCAATTACCTTTCTGAAAGCTGTTCATGTAGTAATTTGGCACAGTAATATTATTTATAGGTTCAATAAGACCAAGTATATTTTCTTTTTGAAATTTCTCCACTGCATATAAGAGATTGTTTAAATATACTTTATCATTAACAGCATTTGGTTGATTTACTTTTCCTGACATTACATGAATTCTAATAAAGGGAATAATACAAAAAATGTATTAAAATATTAAGAGCTCAAAGGAAGATTATAATGCAAATAATTAATATCTAATATATAAGACTAATGAATACTTAGAAAATGAACAAAAGCAAATTCACAGATTATGCAAAATAAACAAAAGAAATAGTAGAGTACTTGACTTATAATAAATAGCATACATAATATATTTTTACCGTGAGCAGTTTAAAGCTTTTGCATATTCCACCGTTAGGTCAATACTTTTTTTAAAGTTTTCTTCTTCTCCAGGTATTGCTGCATATCCTAGTTCCCCTTTCGTTACATCGCCTGTTATGATAAAATAGAAAACAATTTATAATTTTTTAATGTATTTTATATAACGTATTTCAGTAATATTGATTAATGAATACCTGTGTATACATTTATAAGAATTTGCTCAATATCTGCCTTTTTTCTAGCTTCTGATACATCTTTAACGGAATAACCAAATGGAAATCCACTTTCTACTGCTTTAAAACCAGCCTCTTTTGCTAATTTATATCTTTCAGTAATAGCTGTTGCCTCCGTAAACATGAAAGACAAATTACTTGCAAATTTTAGACTCATATTTATTAATTAGATATAAATATGTACAACTATAAATAATAAGAAATAGTTACTTGAAAGAAGCGATATATATGTATTTATACAGATAAATGGGTAAACGTTTGTGACATTATATAATTTTTCTTATCTATCAAGTGGAGAAATTGCTATAAAAACTATAAACGCATGCTAGTTTTTTATTTCAAAGTGAAACTTACTATGCATGTATGAATTTAGTAAACAATTAAAATGTATAACTAAATATATATGTTATACTAACCTCAATAAAACATATTTTTATTTCTAAAATATAGGAATAAAGAGAATAGAAATTCAATATTTTTTCGTTCTTAAGTTTGAATTTAGTTTTACTTTTTCGTTATAAAACAATTGTGCTTGTTATACAATAATTAGACTTAAATTAGGTCTTTTTGGGAGAGAAAGTATAAAATGATTTGTATTGTACTGTTATCACAAGTTATGAATTATATACTTTCCTTTAAAAAACGGATACATTATATGTATAGTACAAAAAACAATGTGATGTTTTTTTATAAATACTTTTTTTTATTTAACATGGAATTAAGTGTGTTGAAAACCATTATGATTTAATGTTATAAATTAAACGCAAGAATTAATGAGTAATTAAGCAATTATTAATGTTATCACTCGTCATCGTCACGGACACCACCGCTTGGTACTTTTGGTCCTCCTGCGCGTTTTGCCATAATAATCTGATCAACTTTAAGTACAGTACATGCAACACCAACAGCATACTTTAGGCACCACTGTTTTGTTAAAAACAAATCTAAAATTCCAGCTTCAACTGTGTCGTTAATAGCTGCTCCATTGTCCTACAAATAAACATTTGTTAATACCTATTAATAAATTTATAAAAAAATTAAACATGAATACATACATCAATAACGAAGCCGTAATTCTTTTTGCCTTCTTTATGCGCAGCATAAAGCTTTGATAAAAGTTCAGGGGCATGACTTCCACTATTTTCTGCCAAGGTTTTTGGAAACACTTCCAAAGCGGTTGCAAACCTACGTACTGCATATTGCTCTAAACCTGGTAATGTATCTGCATATGAAGCAAGTTGTGCAGCTATTTCAATTTCAGTAGCACCAGCTCCGGGAATAAGTCTTCCATCTTTTGTTATTCCTTTAAATGTATTAACTCCATCATCAATAGCTCGTTCGATATCATCCATGTAATTTTCGGTGGATCCTCGAATAATTATAGTACTGACACGGCTATCTTTGCCATGTAATGCAAATTTTACTACTATTGTATCTCCTACTTCATCAATATATACTGAATCTGCATATCCCAATTCTTCTTTTGATGGAGGAATCTAAAATATATATCACCAATTAGAATTTACCTAATACCATAAAAATTCGACTGAATGATAAAATGATTTACCAATCTTGGAAGAGCAGTAGCACCAACAGTTTTACACAATCTTCTAATATCAAACTTGCTAGGAATGCGAACAGCCATTAAATTATATTTGTTCATGTAATGTAAAGCCATATCACCAAATTTTCCTCCTGAAACAATAACAGTAGCTCCACTGTCAGCAATTGCTTTTATTTGAGTCTCTAATAAAGATTCCTCTCCTCTAGAAAAATTCATTAGTTCATCTGCTGTTTTTATTAATACTGTCCCTTTAGTTTCAGTTTGCATGATGTCCACAGCACAAGTATAGACTGCAATTTTAGCATTGTCTTGCTTCATAACATCTCCTTCAACTTGCCGTTTAAATACCATTCCTTGTACAACCTCAGAACTAGATACACCACTTCCAAGTATTTTGCACACTCTGACATTATCTACATTGAAAGTTGTCTTTTCAGGCAAAATAGATACACATGCTCGTGAAACAAGAGAAGTAAGAATTTCTTCATTTCCAAATTGTTTACTCATAATGGCTGTTTTAATTCCAACTTTAATCTGTTTTTCATCTTGGTAATCATTTACTGTATAACAAATTAATGTTGGTAATATTTCTAGAGCCTTTTCTAAAGAAGCTTCATATCCTTCAACTATTTCAGATGTGGTAATTCCCTGTTATAAAATATATTTTGTTAATATTACTAATATTTAATTGTTATTTATATTAATAAATATTATTAATTATTAATATAGTTTCAAAGTTTATACCAGATGGAGTAGTTCTTCTGCAGCTTCCAAAAGTGCTCCAGCAAAAATTATAACAAAATTTGTACCATCACCAACTTCTGCTTCTTGCATTTTTGATGCTAAAACTATTAAATTAGCTGCTGGGTGTTCAACTTCTAGTTCATTAATAATTGTTGCAGCATCACTAGTAACAAATAATTTCTCAATATGATTGATAATCATTTTGTTCATGCCATTTGGACCATACGCAGTTCTCACAGTTTGCACAAACTGTTTGCACGCTGTTATATTTCTGTATACAGCTTCTTCTAAACCTGAGAAATACTAAGTAAGAAAATAAAATATATTAGTTATAATATTATAACCATTAAGAACATTGCTACTTTATATAGGTACATAATAAAATATACAAAAATATGATGTAGAAAATAAATTATCTAAACGAATTATTTCCATAAAAGGTAACGCTCACTGGAAGACTGAATCATATTCTTTTATATGAGGAAATATCGGCTACTTATAATTCATTAAAACTGTATAAGTAACGTTAAAATATTTATTGTAAAACTTACACGAGCTCCTTCTTTAAGCATTTGAGCCATACCCGGCGCTTTCGGTACGTGTAAAGCCATTTTTATTATTTTTATAATCAAAAATTATTGTTACTTCACGTGCAATTCACAACTGATAGGTTGCTTTAGCTTTCCGTCAAACGCGATGCAGAATCGAGACCTTTCTTGAAATTTGATTTCTAGAGCGACATCTAGGGACGTTGTTAAGTGAAGTTACCTGTCGCAAAATTATTATAAAAAAATTTATATATGAAATACAAATTATTTTTTAAATAAAAGTTCATAATTTATATAAAATTTAAGAAATAACTTATATAAATTTATACTGTTATAAAAATTCTATCATTGCTTAAAAAAGTGATCATTTTTAAGACAAATCAGCCTTAAGGGATAGGCCCAAGTAAAATTAAATGTTAGGAAGTTGAGTAAATCATTGGTAATTGATAAAGCTGTAACATATAAACAAAGGTTATTGTTAAGAATTGGTAAGTTAAGTTATTTTGGATACTATTAGAAATTTTGAATTAATACACGGTAGAAAATAAAATTATTTTATGTTTTATGTATAGTTATACAGAATATTCTGTATTCAACTGTTATGGATATGGTGATCACGAATTTGCAACAGCAACGTCAAATTACGGAGCAGCTACGTCGTGAAGCTGCACTGAAACGAATCACAGTCAGTAAAGCTGTGGAGGATATCATGAAGTATATTACGGAACATGAACAAGAGGATTGTCTTCTAGTTGGTTTTTCATCACAAAAGTCTAATCCCTTTCGTGAAAAAAGTTCCTGTACCATTCTTTAAATTAGCATGCCTAAAATAAGAAAAAAATTAAGTCAATTTTTTCTTTAAGTATTTAAATTTTGAATCTATAGTTATTTAACACTGTTTTTATACAAATGGAAAATTATTAACTACTATGGACATCGAATACAAAATAAGTAGTTTATATAAAGTCATGTTTGTAACTAATTTCTTTTTAAACGAGGTATAATATTTGCTTTAACATCAGCACTCAAATTTTGATCAACATGGAATACCTGCAGTTATCTATTTGCCTTTATAAACCATTTGAGTATCAGATTGCACTCAGTTGTGTCTTCCCAGATTCATTTAAAAAAATGCCATGGAATTGACTCAAAAGGCTCAACTAATTGTATATGTGAAGTTTATCACAGTGAACTGTTAAATATTAAGTATTCAACATTACTACGAATACATGGGAGATACGAAAACACTGCTATTATATTGTTTGATACTTTGTGAGAGAAAATACAATTATGCAGTTTGCGCTTTTTAAATGTTTTATTGCAGTAACATTTGGAATTCAAATGGATAAATAGATTTTATATAAATACTAACAGTAAACAAGGATTAATTGTACATTGAAGGTGTATATTCAAAAAATTCAATCTAAATTTTATTATATGTTATCATGATTTTATTGGCCTATGAAAATGTAATAAAATTTATGTACACACAGAGTTATGGACACAGAGTATGCACTGAAAAAATAGAAAACTTTGGCTCTTAAGATTATATATACATTTACAAAAATGAAATGCTATTTTGTACAATATTTTATCTATAAAAATATATAAAATAAAAATTGTATGTTAATAATATGATCTGTGAAATCTTGAAATAGAATTATAATTTAAAACAGTGTATAAGTATATTCTAGTTTAGTTTTTATTATATTCATAAAGTCATTATTAACTACATCAAGTGCCTCTATGAACAAATAATTATATGTTATGTAATGTATAAATAAAAGTATAGTTATACAAGTTTCTAGCGTAATAAAATAAAATGAGATTATAAATATAAACTTTCGTAACTCTTTATACTCTTTAAATGTGCTACAATGTCAGAACCTTTTCTAACATTATTGCTGATAAAAACTAGTTAAAGATATAAATAAACATATTTCTTCAATTTCTTTTAATATTAATTTTTTATCTAGACTGAAAATCATATTATTCTCTTAATTGAATTTAACGGAAATGGCACGTGGCACTGTCTAGCGGCAGTGTGGAAAACTAATGAAACTGCAGTTTCAAAAACGTGTAGTTCACCCTGTTCGCCGAAGAGATGGCGCTTGTTCCATTTTTGTTGATGACGTCACTTTTTAAAAACCCGCGCGTAAATTTTTAATTTTTAACAAAATATTGTATACAATAATTCATAGATAATTTACAATATATTCGCGCAAGAAAGTTATAAAAATATTGAATTGCAATAATTAATTTATATAATAATGAGTTACAATAAAATATATCATAATATATTAATTGACAATTATTTTGCAACATATCTGCTAGAGTAAATTGATAAAAACAAAAAATTAATAAAAATTTATTCATTTAAACAATTAATAAAAAATTTAATAAAAATAAAAAAAAGACTTGGATAGTTACAACAACAATTTTATAAATAAATAACTAAAAAAATTATTAATTACAATAAAATATATCGTAAAATATTAATTAACAATCATTTCGCAACATATTTGTAAAAATAAGTTAAAAAAAATAATAAATTTAAACAATTGCAACAATAAATTTGTTAATAAACAATCGAAAAATATAAAATTATGAAAAAATTAATGTTAGAATAGTTATACAACATCCAATAAGAGTGGTTGCACGCTATTGGTAGATTACGTGATGTCTGATTGGTTACTGTACATTACCAATCACCCTTACACTTGAAGAGGTCGAATTGGATCTATTGGTAGATCGGTAGATCATTATGATGTCTAATTGGTTGTTGTCAACTACCAATAACACTCACAGTAGCGGGAGGTCAAGTTCTCTCAGTCGTATTTTGGAAATCGAGGAGGTCGGATCGCACCTGTCAACACTTACCGGTACGAGTCAAGGGTTTACTTTATCGATATTGTGCTTGTTCCTGTATTACCTACTGTGCTTTAATAAGTGTTTAGTGTGTTTTAATAAATATTTTTTAATAAATATGTGGGTGTATTAATAAA